CAGAACAGACCACAGGCCCTGCAAAGTGCTGAAATGGCTACCCTGTGCTATGCCAAGGCTTTTGACAGCTGAAAGCCAGTTTGTGCAGTCAGTGAAGCTACCAGGCTCGATCTGCCATCAAGAGCATCCTGTTCCCAACTCAGCACTGTGTGTACCTGTGCATACATACCCCATGCTTGGCTTTCCCACTGGATGGTAAAACGGTTGACCCTGGCAGATTATCAGTCACATGACAACAACCAGGAAGGAGAGAGGACTGGTAGCATTTGATTTAAGTAGCACAAAGGTCCTTCAGATCTGAAACCCAGCAACCTACTTTGTTTGTAATCTGCATGGCAGATGTCTCTTATCTTTGATGCCATGAAATCATGCCTATATATGATTTCACAGTGAACAGTTTCAGATCTGAGTGTATTTTTAGAACAATGGGACTTGAAAAGAAAAGCAGCAATGCCTGTCAAAAGATGGATAATAGGAAAGCTAACTACTAGGTCTGGATTTGTCAACTATTAATCAAGTGTCAAAAGAAAAAATATTAGGAGCGCTCTCATTTCCATGACGGGTGCAATCCGAGGGGGAAACAGCTTTGCAGTTCAAGCTCAAATAAACTGCCCACACCATTTAAGGGGATGAGCTACTAATTTCAAGCTCAGGTGAACTAATGGATCACCCCTGTGGTTCCTGATCCATTCAAATAGAGTAGGCTCCTGTGTGGGTAAAGAGAGGCGCTAGGGCTCTGACGGGGATGAAATGAACGAGTCTGTGCCAGTCTGTGTTTGTCCAGGGTTTGAAGGCACTGGCTTGTTCTTTGATGGACTGGGATCCTACTGCTACAAAGAGAGCAGGGAAGTCAGTCTGTAAATGAACCTTCAAACCTAATCCTGACTTCTCCTGCAAACAGGGGTGGGGAAGGTGGCACAATTAACAGGAAAAAGATCTTTCTGAGGTGAAAATCGCTATTCAGATTTCAGTAAAGATGAAGCAGGCTTATAATAAAAAATACCCTGCTCAAGTTTATGTATATATTGGGAACACATACATAACACTTCATACATTCGGTAAATTTATATGTATTCCACATAGATGTGTATACATATACAGGTATGCCTTTGGAACGTAAGCACCATGAGGGCAGAGGCCTCCTCTGTCTTATCCCCTCTATTTTCAGTGTCTAGAACAATGATGCATGGCACAGGAGCTCCTCAACCGATCTGCAGAATGAATGAACACTGAGTGGACTCACTATTCATATTAAATGCAATTCATCGATAAGAAGACCCTCAGAGGAATGTGTTACCACCACCCCCAGTTTATAGAGGAAGGAAATGAAATGCAAGGAAACTAAGTCACTTGTTCAAGGTTTGAACCTAGGTCTGTCCAACTCGAAGACTGTTGCCTTTTGCCCTCTTATACAATGGCTAGGCAGAGGAAGCTGGAAGGGCAACCCCCCAACACACATAGCAAGGATCATGGCAATATGGCATACAGTACCTGCATGACCAGAAGATGTACCAGCTGGTCACACCTGCTGGCACCTTGCATCCTTACCTGGGCTCTGGGCTTGGCAGGTGGGAGTAGGACTGCAGGTGGAGACCAAGCAGCCTAAAGGCTTTGTTTCCCTATCATGAGAATTGTCAGGCATGGACTTCATCTTTTTAAAAATAGGTATTGCTTAGTTTTGCTTCCTTTTAGCCCAGGGTGAAAGTCTCACTGATTGATAAAATCTCACTGCAAAAGAGAGGGAGTCTCAGAGGCTGCTAAAAGATTGGCCCAGGGAGTGTAGTTTTAATCAGAGTTAAACCAGGCTGAGTGCATGTCCTGGCTTGAGGAAAAACAGAAATTTGGGGTATACGTTCTCATTTCAAATTCTTTTCATGTATGGAAAAGAATAGCTCCATGGCCAGAAAGGCACAGAACTATGGAGGCCTACTGCATGCTGGGAATTATCTTGGATTCCGGGCTACCTGAGAATTTAAACCAGTTAAGGTTGCCTCTGTAATTGCTGAGATGGAGGTGTGGTTGAGCTGACCTGTTATTCGTAATCCAGCGCTTACCCTCAGGGACTCTGCCTTATTTGCAGTTCCTGGTATGCTGACTTCTCCCACACCCCAAATATGATTTACTCATTTGTTATCCATTGATGTTATTTAACTTTGGGGGAGCTGGTGTTTTTTTTAGCATTGCCAGTTAACAGTGACACCTGGTGGTAGCGTATAGCAAGGTTATACCCTGCCCCCACCTTCACCCCTCCCCCAAGTTGCAAGATTTATACCCCCTCTTTACAAGGCACATTTGCTAGATAAAAGCATTAAACTGGAACGGCATGTCTGTCCTTAGCATTTACAGCCTTGGTTATATCAACCACCCCTTGATCAATTTCCATTTCCAAAGTTTACAGCCTAGATGTAAAAGCCTGCCACAAAGGCTATATTTAATATGACAAATTAAAAAAGCAAACACAGAGTTGGTCTTTCTTTGGAGTCAGGAGAAACAAACAGGAGGAAGGAAAAACCCATCCATAATGCACATAAAGCAGAATTTTCATGGTGCTGCCAAGCTGGCCTCTATCCCAACATGACAATGGCTGTCCTCTGAGGTCCTGACCCCCACCTGCCACTGGCCGCGGTGCTGCTCATCCATCTCTCTCCAGAAAATGGGGGGCCTCAGAGTAGCCCCTGCCCTCACAGATTCCCTAACCAGCCCTCTGGCAGATGGAGGAGCCACTTCCAAAGCAAGTTGTTCATCTGCCCACGGTTGGAAACTCTACCTCTGAAGGGAGCTGCATCATCTCTGGACAGCTCTGACATTCACTGGTTCTTATGAATACGAAGCTGAGGCTTGACTTTTGTAAACTCCTGGCTACAGGGCCCTCCCTTGGGCCCTTGCAGAGAACACAACCGCTTTGTCTTCTCCTGTGATAGTGAGTAAGTGTGTGTGTCACTCTGACTGCTGTGTGGAAAATACTTGGGAGGGGGAAGAAGTAGAAGGGAATGGTGAGGGGGCTTCTGTGGTTCAGGTAAGAGAGGATGGTGGCCTGGCATAGATTGGGGTGGCTTGGAGGTGAAGAGAAGCAGACAGTTTTGAGAGAGATTTTCTGAGTTAGGCTTTACTTTTGGTAATGGATATGGGGTGTGAAGGAAAGAGAAGAATGAAGGACAAACAACAGACCAATGGTGGGGCCATTTACCAAGATGGGGACTCAGTCTCCTTCAGGAGACCTGGAGCATCAGTACCGGTAGGCGTGACTTCAGTACTAATTGGGGCCCCCCCACCTCCCTCTCTTCACACGCTAACGAGGCTCACAAAGAGACCGGGTTTCCTATTGTCTCAGGATTCTTCTTCCATTTACAGAGCTTATTAATTTCTGAATCAAGATGCCAAATCGGCTCTTGATCAAGGACAACACTGATTTTTTTCCTGACTTCAAAATAAGTTTGCAGATGATGGGTGTGTGAAGCAATCAACCTTGCACTTCTCCACCTCCCATTCCTGCTAAGGGAGGTCACCTGACTCAGCTCCAAGAAGGGAGCTCAGTAGAACAAACGAGGGCGAGCTGCAGTCAGTGCCTGGCTGCCCTGTCCTCCTCCTGTGGCACCTGGAATACCAGCTCAAGATTCAGCAAGGCCCAAATCTGGGTTTAATTGCTTTCAGCAGCAAAAAAGAGAATTAGAAATGAAAAGATAATGAATTGCGAATATTAGCTTGTTTGATGGCTCTAAACTTGAAGGATGGGATGCGGAGTGTGTAGAAAATGTAAAATGAGACAGGGAATGCGAAAATGAGATCTTTGTAACTCTTGGTTGTAACAGGCACCTCAAAGAATTTACTTCAAGATAAATTCATTATGTTCTTGGTTTAAATCACAGCCCAATCAGCTTCAGGGGCACTGCCCAGGGAGGACTATTTTTACCCTATGTTGGTTCTTTAAGGAATAAGAATGCCTGGGGACAAGAAGCTCATTGGGATGCGCCCCTGTGCTCCAGAAACTATGACTGATTCTGGGCCTAAGCGATGTGATGAGAAAGGGAGAGAGAAAAAAGGGAACTGGGGAAATCAAGAGCCCAAAATTGCAAAGGACAATAAATCAATTCAAAAAGATATTCCCATCACTCTCAGGGAGTGCAAGGTTTATAAGGGAGTAAGTCAGCTCTCCCCATTTCACAGACAGAGCAGCCTCTTACTGCTCAGGGAATGAGTTGACACTAACTCCTACCCCAGCAAGGATGATCAGGGATGTGTCTCCAGAAGCCTAGGAAAGTGGAAGGATTCTATTCCAGGACATGGAGCTGAGGAACTGTGGAGCCCAGAGCAGCACACCTAGACAGCCCAGCTTTCACCCCTGTAGCAGTTATCCAGGAGATGGCAGGTCCAGGGTGCAGGCTGCTCCCAGCTGGAAGAAGGGCTGGGAAATGGGGGCCAGAGTGCATTTTTTGGGTCTCAAGTCTGGGGAATGCTGCTGTGTTCAGAGTTTCAGCTAAAGAGAAAAGTCCTTAGTACTCAAGGAACCATAAATAGCTTCTTCTCTTTGAGGTGGTATAGCTATTCTCTAATTGGCATGGTCAAAACTCTTGGAAATTAGAATCACATAATTTCAGAATCAGAAAAGGCCCTGTAAGCCATCAGTCCAGTGGTTCTTAATGGTGTTTGGGTCATAGACTCCTAATAAAATCGGATGAATGGTGTGGATTCTCTGTCTACAAAAATGTACATATGTGACTGCTTGCACACACACCCAATTTTGCTACAATTTGTGAAGGTTCATGGCACCAATGCCCATCTAGGACCCTCCGTTGTGCTGAGGTATGCCAAATCAGTAACTCAGTGCTTTCGCTTTGTCGTTGAGGGAGCTGAGGCATGGTGAGGTGCCAGGGTCACCCGGTTGCCAGAAATAGAGCATAGAAGTGAATCACCCTCTGACCAAGAGAATGCTTCCTGCCATTAGCAAATCATCTGTAATTTAGAACAAACATAAAGAGATGTGGGTGATCAAGCCGACGTACCTCCTGGCAGCCTCTTGTAATTTCATGGGCTGTTTGGCACTGAGGTAAATCACACAGGCATCAGCCACTTTATTCAGGTCACCCTCACCTGCAGAGAGGAAAAACAAAACAAACATCGGCCCTCAGACTTCATCTGGGACAAGCAGTAACCAACTGTTGTCTGGGAAACTGGAACAGCTAGGCAAGATGCCCTGGGCTCTTTACTCCATCCTCCAAGTCAAAGAACACATCAAGATAAATGGACAAATGAAGCCAAAGTAAGACTGAAGGAGGTACACATGAAGGGAGATGAAGGGGCAGGACTAAGTGCAATGGCAGGGGTGAGACAGAATGCAGAGTGTGTGTCCAGGTATCACTGGTCGATACCCACCTAGGTCTAGTCTCTCACAGAGGGGGCCCAGGCCCTGCAAGACAGCCAGCTGCAACTTGAAGGCCAGCGTGTGCGAGTAGACTGGTCCAGCTCTGGCACTGATGGGAGCTTGGGTGACTAAGGAGCCAGCCAGCTTTGGCAGGACATCTTTGCAGAAGCGGCTACGTAGAAAATCGCCACACTTGCCTCCTAGTGTACGTAAAACCTGTAGAAACAGCCCGACCTGGTGATTAAACAAGGCAAAGCAGCAAGAGAGCTAAAGAATGCTTGGTAATTCAATTTCATCTAGGTCTCTGCTTGGAAAAAAAAATAGAATTACTGCTGTTAATTCCTTGCCCATGGTTTGTGATTCTGACAGTTATGAATTCAGAGGTCTTTGCTCCCAAGGCATGTCTGCTTCTATCCATAAATACAGATTACACAGAGAATAATTCAAAGGAATCTTGGGTTGGATGAATAATATGATTAATATCTTGATTTTCCTCCCTTTTTTTTTGTTTAAAAAAAAGAGCTTAAAGCAATTCACATAGATCATCTCTTGAATCTTCCTAACATCCCTTGAGAAAAGGCTTGTGCTTTTAACTCTAGCTAGCTCAGCAAACACAAACACTAAGGCCCAGCTGCTGCCCTGTGCAGGCATCAGGAGGGCAGTGACTAGGCGAGATTCCTGGGCTGAGTCAGGGCAGGTCCCCATGGTTGGAGCCAACACGGTATTCCTTCTGTTCAATTGCACAATCTCTTATGTACATCACCCTCATTCTATGTTTCACAACAGGCAGTTTCTTTGCATGTTTCATTTTAAACTTTCTGTAGTAGAACATATTGAAACGTTTTGCCCCGCTGCACAAGACTGAGTACACAGGATAATAGGAATTTCTTTAAAAGTTGGTAAGCAAGGCATAACCAGCACATACAGTGTTTGCTGACTTTGCAAAGAATAAGGCACTCATTGCAGGTCCCTCAGATGGACTGCACAAGGTTTTACAGACCTCAGGTGTCATCAATGTGTCTGCATGTGAAAAAACCAAACTCAATTACAGCATACACATCTTTATATTTTTTCATTTTTCTATGCTGGCTGTCATTTCAGATAACCTATTAATTTTCATAAAGGAAAACTGCACATCTGAATAAGATTTAGCAATCCTGCTAAATCCTCTCCTCCTCCCCCAACCTCCCTCCTTCCCTCTCTTTTTACAAACGTATATACACATACAAAAATACACGTGTCATTTTGTGCATTTTGCTTTGGAAAAAATATTAACAATTTTATATGTTTTAAATCTAAGCTGGTATTTTTGGCCCAGTATATGCTGAAGAATCTTGAAGAAAACCAAACTACCTTTGCCAAGTATATCAGCTGTATTACTGGCTTTGTTTTACATCCCTGCATATCTCTTTCCACCGCTTCATCTTGCTTGTCTACTTCTAACTTATGTTAGCTTGCCATAGAAATGTATTTCTGCAGGCTGCCTTAAGTGCATTTTAGAACAGAAAAAGATATAAATAAATAAGCTATGTGTGCTAATATAAACCAAACCAAGTCATGGAGAATAATACCTTACATACATAAAGAGCTTTTAGCTTTTCAAAGTATTTCACCAAATAGTCCCATTTTATCCTTGACAACACCAAGAGAAAAGTGGGGCAGGTGTTCCTCAGGCCACCCTGAAGATAGGTGGTCGTGGGCTTTGCCCAAAGTCACTGGCTGGGCAGAGGATGCCCACTGCCAGAATTGAGGTCCCTTCACCCTGACTCTCAGTGCAAACAACAAGGGTGTGAACTTACAGACCTGGATTCTATAACTTACTAGCTGGGTGATCTTGAGAAAATTCCTTAACTTCTCTGAGCTTGTTTTCTCCTCTGCCAAAACTGGAAATAACATAGCTACCTTGCAAGGCTGTTGTGAGGTGCTGAGCTCACTCTCTGGCTCATGGAGGTACTCAATAAATACTGGTGGTCCTTTTCACCTACTAGTTTACTCTGTTTCAAATTCAAAAGGAAGCTGACTTTAATTTTCTCCTTGGTGCTTTCTTAGTTTTCTATACTTTCTTCAAGGTATGTGACATTGCAATCAGATAAAAAAAAAAGTTGATCCGAAAGGCCCTAGTGAGCTCAGAGCTTACTTACTACCTCCATCCTCATTACAGACATTGGAGGTGTCAGGGCAGTACCTTGAAGGCTCTGAGCACTGCCAGGGGGTCATCATTTGTGAGTCGGTGCACAAGCGAGGGCCAGGCCCGATGAGCCAAGGGAAGGAGCTGGTTCTTGTGGGACTGCAGAACAACCACACACAAATCTAGCACATCCAAGACCTGAAAGAAAAGATATGATTTCAGCAGATGGTAAAGGCTTGAAACCATGTATCTGGGATTGAGTCACCATTTTAAAAGAATAAAATTTAGAAACTCATTCATTGGATAGCTGTTTACTGAGTGCTGACTACATTCCAAGTCCTGGCTAGGTACTGGGGGAACAAACAGGGACAAAATACACTTTTCTTTTTTTTTTTCCCTTTTTTGTCTTTTTCCGTGTCCAGCAACGGATCGCAACCCTCAGTGTCGCCCCCGTACCGGACCAGGACCGGCAACGGGATCGCAACCCTCGGTGTTGCTCCCGCGCCTCGCTCAGCCAGTGAGCGGGAACCGGTCTGTATGTGGGATCCGAACCCTCGGCGGGAGCACCACCACGCTCCCAAGTGGCGCACTATAGCAGTGCGCCACCGGGCCGGCCCAAAATACACTTTTCCTTACCTTCATGTGGTTTACAGTCAACCAGGGAAAGACCTTAATTAGATAATCCCAAATAAAGGGATTATTATCAATTGTGACAAGAAGAAAAGTAAAAGGTGAAATGCAAAGAAATTAAGGAAGGATCTAAACCATATAGGCTGTTGGGAAGGCTTCTCTGAGGAAGTAGCTTCTAAAAGAAGACATAAAGGATGAGGAGGAGTTAAGTCCTGTGAAGAGTGAGTGAGTGTTTCTGTAACTGGAAGCTGTAACAAGTAACACCCAGAGGTGACAGGGTTCCCAGTGCTTAGGAAATGAAAACGAGGCAGTGTGGAATGCTAGAGAAGGGATAAGATGGGGCTGGAGCATGGAGGGGTCACATTAGGAATTTTTTATTTTGTACTAAGTACAGTGGGGAGACACTGAAGTGTTTTAAGCAGGAAGGTGACATGATATGATTCAAGTTTTTAAAAGGACATTCAAGCTGCTGAAGAAAGAAGGGATTTGAAGAGGGAGAGAGAAGTGAGAAGGCCCTTTAGGAGTCCACAGCACATGTCACATGAGAGGACCAAAGTGACGGCCAGGTGATGGCAGCAGAGGTGGAGAAGTGAAAGAATCTGTTTTGGAGATAAAATGGCTTAAATTTTTGAAGGACTGGATATTGGGGAGAGGAAAAGTATCAGAAAGAGCTGTGTGGGTGCAGGTGTAGCAAATGAAGAGATGCAGGTGCCACTGAATGAGAAGGAGTCATGTAGGAGGAGCAAGTTGAGAGGCTGGGTGAAGTCAAGTTCTGTCACTGCTACCTGACAGGCTAAGGAGACAGCTGAGGTACCGGCCAATTGCATAAGGTAGGTTTAGGCTAGCTGAGATATAAATTGGTTTTTTACCTTCCACATCCCAAAGCTCACTGTAAACAGATGGCCTGCATCAGTGTTTTAAGGCGGTGGTCAGTATGATAACCAATGAGGGCTTCCCTCCCACACAGATGGGCAGTCTTCACAGCTGCATGTTTGCATCAGAAAGACAGAGCGGAGTCTGCCACATGAAGCAGTAAACCCTTATTGGGTACCTACTACACACTGGTCCTCACTGAGACTGGAACCAAAACAAAAGAACAGAAGAGGCCCTGCCCTTGAGTGGTGAATAGTTATGCAGGGGAATAAGAGAAAGTTCAGTGGTACACAGGAGAGCAGAGTACTAAAGTGGAAATGCCTTTGGTATCACTGACTGGCTTTGAATTTCAGTTCTGTCATTAACTGGACAAGTTACATCATATTTTACTGACTCAATGGTGTATATTCCCCCATCCCCTTCCACCCCAACTGGAATGGTCTTCTCCTGCCTTTGCACCTTTGCATGGCTGGCTCCTTCTCAATCTTTAGAAATGTTACCACTACCTATGCTATCCACCCTAAGGGAATCATTGTGCAGCATATGCATATATTAAAACAACACACTGTACGCCACAAATATGTACAAGTAAATACTTTTTTCTTTTTTCTTCCTTTTTGTCTTTTTTACTGACCGGTAACGGGATTGCAACCCTTGGTGTCGCACCCGTACTGGGGACCGGCAATGGGATCGCAACCCTCGGTGTTGTGCCCGCACCGCGCTCAGCCAGTGAGCGGGAACCGGTCTCCACATGGGATCCGAACCCTCGGTGGGAGCGCCGCCGCGCTCCCAAGCAGCACACTCTCCAGTGCGCCACCGGGCCGGCCCAAGTAAATACTTTTTAAAAAAAGAAATGTTATCACTTCAGAGAAGCCTTCCTAGACAACCTAGTCTAAATCAGTATGTAAACTCTGTCTTATTCAACAGGGTTTGGTACAGAGTAGATTCCCAATACATATCTGCTACATGGGTGAATTACTGAATTACTATTTTCCATCACAGAACCTGCTTATTACCTTTATAGCATTTCCTCGACTTGTATATGTGAGTCTGTGTGTTGCCTCTCTCCCCCCACACAGACAGGAAGTTCCAGGAAGACAGAGATTATATATGCATCACTCCCTTTCAGACACCTTTTGCCAGACCTATAGTAGTCCTCAATAAGCATTCAGTGAATGAATGAATGAGTATATATGCCATACCTCATGCTAATCGTTTTATATTTATTATCAACAACCCTGAGAGGTTCACCTCCATTTAACAGATGAAGACACTGAGGCTCAAAAAGGTGAAATTAACTTTCTCAGGGTCACATGGCTAATAAGAGGCAGAGCCAGGATTTGAACTTAGGTATGTAGGTCTGACTCCAACACTAATGCTCTTAGTCACTATGGTGTGTATACAGCTGCTACAAAGCCTCCATTAAAAGGAAGGTCTTGAAGGGTATGCAGGAGTTTGCTGAATGGATCAACAATGCACCTACATTAAAGCCTTGCATGTAACAGGCACTTGAAAAGTGCTTGCTGAGTGAAACAACAGATGAATGCTAAGAGGTATCTTGGGAAGACTAAACAAATTCCACAAAGCACAGATCCTGAGATTTGGGATATTCTGTGGATCAGAGTTTCTTAGCTCACCATCCCTGGGCAAGACAATGCTTTCTCATCACTAACAATGAGTCACTAAGGCAGTTGAGTTTCTCACTCCTGCTGGGGGTGGGGAGGAGTGTTGTTTTCCTTTGGGTATAAGATCTTCTTCTGGGTAATTCTGAAAGCCCTGCGCCCCACTACCACCTCACTCTACTGTCCTATTATTGGAGTCACTACTGTATATTTTAAGCCCTTGCTGATGGGGGTACTGCTTGGGAAACTCCCAGCAAATGAGGATGTAATATTATGAAAAGTGTTGGAATTTTTCCTAGGATGAAAATGGAAACAGAAAAATATAAGGGCTAGTGTCAGGCTTAGAAGAATGGCACTTTAAAGTATTAAAGTCTGCATTCCACATTAAGTCAGCTCAGAAAATAGTATCTTTTCCAAAGCACCTGACTTTCTTTCCCTTGGTTATTCAATGAATTCCCAAAACTTTGTGGTTTTGGATGCAGGGAACTCAGGTCCCTTTTAGCATATAAGCTGATACAGAAAGATGTAAAACTGGCATCCCACAGATAACCTCCTCTTGATGCCTTCTCTTGGCCACTACACATAAACCAGGAGATAAGGGAAGCTACTTGCTCATCTGGGTAGCCACCGCCAAACAGACCACACCTCAGTCCTGCTGCTCTGTGAATGAAGAGAAGGGGCCACACACTGACCTTCAAGCGGATTTTCAGATTTTTATCTGACAACAAGTGGATGCAGCGCTCCATCACGTCCATGGCTATTTGGATCTGCACTGGTAGTGCTGGCTCCACATCTGGATGGGTGTCATTCTCGTCCACTTTTGGAGGGACTGACTGCTCCTCTGGAAAGAGAATAACTGGGGTTAGTGCCTTATAGAACATGCCCCAATCCAGCTTGATCCCCAGCTTCAGACTCAGAAACAGGACTTATAGGAAGAATATGTCTAGGAATGCATCTTAAGAAAACAATCTGAAATTTGGGTCAAGCTGTACAAATTAAGACATTCACAAGCTGTAACAGCTAAAAACTAGGAAAAACCCTTTGCTATGGTTTGAATGTGTCTCCTCCAAAATGATGATTTTAAGAGGTGGAGCCTTTAAGAAGTTATTAGGTCACGAGGGCTCCTCCCCTCATGAATGGGATTAACACCCTTATAAAAAAGGCCTCATGCAGTGTTCGGCTTGCTTGCTCTTCTGCCTTCTGTCAAGCGAGGACACAGTGTTCCTACCCTCTGGAGGATACAGCAACACAGTGCCATTTTGGAAGCAGAGCATACCTCACCAGATAATCGAACCTGCTAGTACCTTCATCTTGGACTTCCCAACCTCCAGAACTGTGAGAAAATAAATTTCTGTCCTTTATAAATAACTCAGTCTTAGGTATTTTTTAATAGCATCATGGATAGACTAAGGTATTTTCCATGTCCACTCAAGGGGGTATGATTATATAAACCATGGTACATCCACACAGTAGTATGTTATGAGGTCCCTAAAATTTGTGTTTAGCAAGAGTTTTAATGACAACCAAATATGATTATGAAATGTAATACTGTTAAAAAGAGAAAAAGTATGATACAAAATTACATATGCAGCATGAGCACTATTATATAAATTTTTGCACAGGAGGAAGTATAACAAAATATTAAGTGACAGAAAAAAACCCAAAACAAAACAGTGACAGGGTCCTGAGATAAGACCATTTTAATTTTTTCCCTATACCTTTGGTCTTTTCTAAATTTCCATGAATAAATATTTAAAATAAAAACATAAGACGGCAGTGTTCTAATTTGGAGCCCTGAGGCTGGGTAGTTCCCTGGCTGGCTTTTGTGCTGCCCTTCGCTCTTTCCTTTCCTTTTGGTTCATCTTTGACTAAAGTGGGTACATGTCTGTCTTGTCCACCAGCCTGTATGATCTTTTGATGGCCAGGATCAAGCCTTACTTATCCTTGTAAGAGAGAGAATACTGGGGAAGGTTGGTACAATACATAGGGCATGGGGTTTGGTCAGAGGAGGATGGTTCCAGTCTCACCTCCACAACTTATTAGAAACTTCTCTCATCTGACATTACCTCATCTGGAAAAAAGGGATAAAGCATATATACCTCATCTGCTGTAGAGAGGGTTAAATGAGATGAATGTCACCAGCTATTACCATTCTTTCATTGCCTAGAGTGCTGCATTGCATAAGATAGGAATAAGTTTGTAAATTAAAACAACACGTAAAAGACTTGAGAATTGCATGAAACCCAGACCAAAACATCCTGAAAAATTTTCCTCTATTTAAGCCCCCACCCCCAAACCCCAATTACCAGCTGTGTTCATTTCCATTGAGCTGAACGTTGCTCCCTTAACTTTTTCCCATTCATTTCCTCGGCTGAAAAAACAGAATCTTACAGTAGAGGATGCCCCTGTCTCTAATAGATGCTGAAAAGATAAATGAAAATGGATTTGCAGAATGCTTGGACTTCTTGGAGAAAGGGACCTCGGATATACAAGGTGCTTTTACATGGTTTAAAAAAAAAACTCATGTCAAACCAACATCAAGCCATACATTCTTTATAATGCCAAGTATGTGGTGTGTACTTAATAAATGATAATTATAAGAATGATAGAGCTGTGTTTTTCTTCCCAGAGGAGGATTTGTTGTTTGAAATTCACCTACTGCAGAATGTTATTTGAGGGATGTGGATTTTCCTGTTATTGGAAGAAGGGTTTATTCATTCATTCTGTTTCTAGTGAACATCAACTAGAACCAGAAGATCCTAATCGTTAAGGAATAGATTCATTGACAGTGCTCAGATTTTAAACAAGAATAGCAAATCTGGATTATGGGGGATCAGGATGTCTCCCCTTCTTCAGGGTTTCCACGTTCAAGTTAAGGGTGTAGTTCACAAGGAGTGGATTGGCTTAAGAAACAAACCTGAGAAGTAAAAGCCTGATAGATTTCTGATCAGAAAACTGTCCTTGAGGAGAGCAACAACTCAACCCTGCATAAATCATTATTTGGGCCTTGTGATGCTTCCCTGCAATTTAGAAGGAATTTGTTGTAGTTAGTTGCATTGAGCTACTATTTTCTGTTATCTTTGACATACTGGCTTCAGTTCAACCGAGTCTCAAAATAGAGACCACCAAGAAAAAAACAAAAAGAAAAGAGAGAAAAGAAAAGAAACCTGCTTGATTCCAACCTAACAAACTAATTTGGGACTCAGTTCGATTTAGGATAGTTCTGAGACCACCAAGCTCATTATGACTTGGCATTTTATATTTGCAGAGGAGATTCTAATAATTTATTAATCCTTCTGTGACCTGAAGCTCCAGATTGAGCTTGTGAATAAAACAACAGGCCAGAGCTTCAACTAGCCTGAAATCCCTTCTTTATCATATAAATTGGTAAGAAAAACATTGAAATATCCTCCCACCAATAAATAAATAGACAAAGCATATGAAGAGACAATGGGCATAAGAAAAAGAACTGTTAGGAAAGAAGCATATAGAAAGATGTTCAACCTTGCTAGTAATCAAAGAAATGCAAGGTGAAATAACAAGAACCATTTTGTACTTATTAATTTAGGAAGAAGTAAAATCGGTAACAGCCAACATTGGCAAGGTTGTGGTGAAATCAGTATTAATCCTGCACTGCTGAAGAGAAGGTATAAATTGATACTACCTTTTTGGAAGGCAATTTGGCAAACATTAAATAATGTTCATATCCTGACCCAGAAATCCCACTTCTGGGAATTTATAAAGAAATATGTAAGAAAAGGAAAGGTCACATGCACAGAATCATCCACTGCAATACTGCTTATTAGAGTGAAAGCTAGAAGCAACCTAAACATCCCACAGGGGAATGGATACTCAGTAGCAGCTATTCAAACATTAATTATGAAAACTCTATAGCAATATGGAGAGTTGCTTATAACTAAACACAAAAAGGATAACCATTTAAAAATAGGTTTGTAATAAAAAAAGAATATACAAAAAATGAGAATGGCTATGTTAGAATGGTAAGGTTATGAGTGATTTTTCTTATTTCCAAACTTTCTGAGATATTTCATTGTTTTTACAATAATCTGTTTCGAAAAGAAAAAAAAAAAAGTTAGGCCAAAATAAACAATAGTTACCATCTCCATTATCAAAATCCGAGATATTTCCATCTGCCACATCCTTTTCTTTGAGGTAGTTCAGCAAAAACTGTTCAATGTCTTCAGCTGTGGTGCTATTCTCAAGAGTTGCTGGTCCTCGGCTCAAATGACTTCCCTCCTCCCTTAGACTTTGCTCTTGGAGTTGCCCGAGATGACCTGTGTCTGGGAACCATTGGGCTGTAAATAAAGTTTTATAACGATCACGTTGGTCATTAACTACAGGCATTAATACTTCATAAGTAGGATAATTTCTTTGCCATGGCCTGCATAGCCCCAGCATGATCTAGTCTCAACCTGCCCCCCCAACCTCATCTTCTACCACTCCTAGTTGCCCGTTAACTACCCTCTAGTTCCTCCAATGTGCCAAGTATTTCCCTGCCTCAGAGCTCTCACATATGCTGTTCTCACTATCTGGAATACTTTCCTCCCTACTTTACATCTGGCTAATTCCAAGTCATTTTTCACATCTCAGCACAAGTAGAACTTGCCCAGTAAAAGACATCCCTTGATCTAACTTAGGTCCCTCATATAGCACCATGTTCTTTCCCTTCATATAGACTCATCACAATTTGTAATTATATATTTATTTTTGCGTATTTTTTAGTGTTTGAATTCTCCCATTAGACACTGTTCTCCATTGTTTATGGGAAATCCCATATACCCGGTATAGAGTAGGTGCTCAAAATACATAAATGCTGAATGAAAAAATACATGATTGGAGAGCACGTACAGGTGACAAAATCCTGAGTACAGTATATACTACTCAGCAGAAGACAGGCTCTACAAGGCCTTAAGAATGAACAGCCCTCTCATGTTAAATATCTGACATAAAATACTTCAGAAAGCTGGCCATTTTCTCTCCAAAGCTTTCCCTTCTTTGGTGATGCTCTGATACCTCTAATGTCACCACAGAATAGACCTTAAACATCACTCAGTCCAGTGATTTTCAAATCGTGCTTTGAGGAGCCTTAAGGCTCTGTGGAAATGTGTCAGGGGTCTCAACAGGGAGGACACCAATAGACGGCAGGCCAACGGGGTGGGTTCCAGGTCTCTATCCTTTCTTCAACTACAGCAGCTCTAATTTCAACCATGTTTGTATACTGGGGTCCTCCTCAAAGGCTTCATTTCAAAAAATGCTCTTAATACTTAAAGAATGAAGCAATAACAACAAAATCCCACAGCCTGAAAATTGCTGCTTGAGTCCAGTGCCTTCCTTTTGCAGACAGCAGGGAAAAAGACTCTGATAACCTTTAGCACCTACTAATCTCCTTTTCATCAAAGAGCATCTGCACAGATCCAGAGCAACAGCAGATGGGAGATGAATGAAAATTGCTGCTTGAGTCCAGTGCCTTCCTTTTGCAGACAGCAGGGAAAAAGACTCTGATAACCTTTAGCACCTGCTAATCTCCTTTTCATCAAAGAGCATCTGCACAGATCCAGAGCAACAGCAGATGGGAGATGACAGGGCCAGGTAACTGGGAGCAGCGGAGAGCAAATGCTTGCGAAGAGACCTTCTAATCAGGTATCTGGAAGTTCTCATACATAGTGATCAATTATGACATTTCTTCAATGTCCCACCCCCAGATGTAAATCAGGTACTTAGTGTACTGTAAGGGATTGGCTCCCAAATAGTTAAAGCACGGATCCCGGACTTACTCTGCTGAGACAAGAGCTGCAAAGATTATTTCTAGATTCAAGGCTAGATTCTATTCCAGACATTCAAATGTCTTTGCTCACAAATGCCTTTTAAACATAGGAAAAGAAACTCAACCCATACCAGACATTCAAATGTCTTTGCTCACAAATGCCTTTTAAACATAGGAAAAGAAACTCAACCCCACTCTTAATGCATATTAAAACTATAATAAAGTGCTATATTTCTCCTATTGGATTAGCAAAGATCAAAAGCTGTGTGGGTGAGGGCATGGCAAAATTGGCACTCTTACATTGCTGATGGAGTTTAAATTGGTACAAGCTCTTAGGAGAGCAATTTGATACTCTTTATCAAAAATTTAAATATAATATCCTTTAAACTGGCATTTTTTCAGGAATTTATCCTATTGATATACTGAGGCATGTTCAAAATGACCTACAAAGATACTCGTTGAAGCATTTTTTTGTGGTGGCAAAAGACTGGAAACAACCAAAATGTCTACAAAGAAAGGAGTGGTAAATAACCTTGGTGCAGCCATAGGATGGAATACTATGCAGCCATAAAAAAATGCAGCAGCCCTATATGTATGGATACAGCACAATTCCCAAGTTCTGAAGTATGTGACATGAAAGCTATCCTATCTTTTTCTTGTTAAGAATAATCAGTCAATTGCTAGTTGGTGCTAAGCAGTAATTTAACAGATGGGTCTTGCCCTCACTGTGGCACCTGCTGGTTTTTAGTCAATGCATGTGAAGCACTGTATTTATGGTAACTCAATTTCCTAAAACATGTACTGGGTTCATTAAGACTCTTCAGAAGTTCTCTGAGACCACACTTCTGCTCCCATCTGAGAAGAGTGGCCATCAGTTAGATAGTTCAATGACAAGCAGAAATGCCAGCATAAAGTGCTACTTTGATTTGTGACTATACCCATTCCATCTGAGTACTACTAACAATTCAAAAAGCAAGTGTATTCTGGGTTATTTTAAACCTTTCAGAAAAGCTATCTCCAATTTTGCTTCTGTTCCTAGGATGCTCCAAAGTCAATGTTAACCATCCTCATTTTCCTTTTTGCAATGGAGACTCCCCCAACACCCCAATTTTTTAAAAAAAGTGCTACATAGGATTTCTTGACTTTCCTGCTTTAGAGATGACCAGACATCAGCAATCTAAGGCAATTCAACTTTCAAGGCCCAAATTGAGGTATCTCCTGAGAGGATACATTTCATAGAACTTTTCTTAACATTTTTTAAAATTTCAAATAGAAATGCAGCATATTTCCCCAAAGCAGTAAAGGTGGGATGTTTTTGGCCCATGGAAGCCAAACATTGTCTGCAATGTATAAGCAGCTAGTCAGTTTTAGAAGGGGCTCCATGGGACAGGCCCATGTGGGTCTTGTTCACAGATGACTCTCCCGTGACTAGCCCACTGCACGGGCTTCCGAGTGGCTGGCTGCAAAATAAAATCCCAACTCCTTCCCTCGTTCTATAAGACCTTACAGGATTTGTCCTTGCTCTCCTTTCCAATTTCATCTTGCACCACTCTCTCCACAATAAACTCTTTTCCATTCTCCAGACACCCCAAGACCCTTCTTCCCTTTGGGCCTCTGCACCTGCTCTTCCCATTGCCTGTTTTTAAAAATCATAAAAACAATGTGACAGCCTCGTACGTACGGATGGGCCTTTATCAACCTTCAGGCCTCAGTTTTAGTGGCACTTCTTCAAAGAGGCCCTCCCTGACCACTCAACTTAAAGTATCCTGTCCCTGTCACTGCCTTACATCAAAGTATTTATTTCCTTCATAGTGCATATCAGAATCTGCAACGAGCTTGTTTAATGATTTGCTTATTTATCATCTCTCTTGCCGAAGCAGGAAAGCTCCATGAATACATTTGTCTTGTTCTTTGCTGTACCCTCATTACTTAGTACAGTGTCTGACACATGGCAGGCACTCTTTATTGAATAAATTAATGAAATAACATTTATGCTGCATGTGAATACTCATGAATAAATGAAAGAACACTGGAAATGGCATCAGCGACAGGGCAGAGGACTGTCCCTGCCCCAGTCACCTTCTGTAAGAAAGTTTCTTACATGGTCTTGGCTTTTTCAACTGACAAAATGAGGTCAGCAACCTTTCCACCTGCCTCAGAGGCTATCAGCAGTATTGAAATAAACACTGGAGATATACTCTTTGGGTAAAAAGAGCCCAGGTATATAGCTCATTATTTTTCATTCAAAGATTGTCCAGTTGATGAACTTTTCTTATAGTCTGAAATTTTGCCATTCTAATGGTAGCTAACATCTCCCAGCAGGCACCCAATAGGATCGAAGGGAAGAAGAGAAACTTAAACCAACTTATACAATTAAAAATTTAAAAGAAAGTTCCTAGACCTGCTCTGTCCAATATGGTAGTCACTAGCTACATAATTAAATAAAATTAGTGGCTACAAAAATTAAATAAAATGAAAAATTCAGTTCCCCAGTGGTACTAGCCACATGGGGCTGGGGGCTATTGTATAGGACAGAATGTAGAACATTTCTATCATCACAGAAAGTTCTACTAGACAATACTATTCTAGACTATCTGTGGGCTGAATAATTCATGTTATTCCCATTCTCCATTAGCATAGATATTGCTAACTGAGTATCATCAGAAGCAGTTTGGGGCCAGCCCGGTGGCGCACTTGGTAGAGTGCGGTGCTTGGGAGCGCGGCGGTGCTCCTGCCAAGGGTTCTGATCCCATATAGAGACCGGTCCGCTCACTGGTTGAGCACGGTGCGGGCGCGACACCGAGGGTTGCGGCGGTGCTCCTGCCAAGGGTTCTGATCCCATATAGAGACCGGTCCGCTCACTGGTTGAGCACAGTGCAGGCGCGACACCGAGGGTTGCGATCCCGTTGCCGGTTGCGGTACGGGCGCGACACTGAGGGTTGCGATCCCGTTACCGGTCACAAAAAAAGACAAAAAGGAAAAAAAAAAAAAAAGAAGCAGTTTGGTATGCTGGAATGAACAAAATTGTCATAAATCCTGACTTTACCCTTTATTAATTGTATGACCCTGGCTAATAGGATCTCACTGAACCTTAGTTTTTACTTGTAAAAGAAGAATAATGTTTACATTTAGTCTGCAGGATTTATATCCCTGGCACAGAGCAAGAGCTTAACTAATAGGAGAGATTACTAAAAGTATAAAAAATAAACAATGGAACCCTACCATAACATGTGGGACTGGAGAGACAACTATTCAAATGTCCTCCACAGCATAACCACAAAAAATGCAAAAAGTAGGTTTACACAAACTAGGATATTGAGTCCTATCCCCCAAATCAGCATTAAAAAGGGCTCTCAGTGTACCTAATGCTGCCAGCAGGGCATGCAAAACACTGACAAAGGAAGCAGCTCTCTTATCGTAAAATTGGTCCAGGGTGGCCAAGACATCTTGAACCACATCTGCCACCAAAGGAAGCAGGCTAGCGTCTGAGTTCTGCAGCATAACTTCTAAGACCTTTGGGGTATGAGGGTGCAGAGCCAGATGACGCAGATTTAAAGAAATCCCATTCACCAAATAGTCTGAATTTTGATTGATCAGGTGTCGTGGAGAGTCGTAGCCACAAGCGTGACAAATGTCCATCATGGTGCTGGTAGCCACCTGACTAATGAGCAGAGTTTGGTCTCCAGCCTTTTCCAGTACTGGATAGAGGGCTGACATTAAGAGTAAATTAAAGTCTTTTCCTAGTGCAAATGCAAATTGGCCAATACCTTCCAACTGGATGCATATTTGCCAGATGTTGCTGTTCATGGAGCAAATAGTGGGACTTGGTTTTGAGAAGGCTGGAAAAGATGTAATTTGACTGGTGTGTGCACCAGATGTGATGGCCTGGAGTCCTGACTGCTTCATCATTAGTTCCTCTCCCATTTCCTCAGCTTCAATACAGGTAACCAGATACCAGTTTTCTTGGCTTATGTATTCTTCAAGTATAGATGTCACGATCTCTCTCAGTTCCTCTGGGCTTGTTTTAATATGTTTTTCGTGAAGATCCTCCACCTCCAGCCCAGCAGCCCCTGTAACCAATTCATTAAAGATCATGGCAGCTTGCTTCCGGTAAACCACAGATTCACGGTACAGTTCCATAAAGTGATCCACAAGCAAATAAAGGTTCCCATAATAACCAAGAAGCTGACAAACCTGCCGCAAGAGTAGGAAAATCCTCTCATCAGTGAAGAAGCGGAAATATCTCCTCTGAATTTGGTTCCATGGCTGAGCAGCTGAGGTCTTTGGAGAAGCACTCAGATCATCAGAGTTCCAATGCCGCTCTTCAACAATTTTGATGTCAGCCACATCTAGTTCTAGAACTTGGATGAGTGCTTTGGAAAGGCGCTGGAGGTGGGCCACAGAGTTGAGGACAAAGTTTACTTTTGGGCCCAAGAGTTTCAGATAACCAAGTAACAAGGAGAGAGTACAGAATTTACCCTGATCATCTTGGTAGTTAACTAGGCGGGGAAGAGACGTGGCAAGCGAATGCAGGCTTTCTGACAAGATATCAGCAAAGGCCCTGTTGCCTACCACGACTTTCTGATCTGCAAAATATTTCAGAACTTTATTGCATTGGGCTTGGACTTCAGGACTCTCATCATTTACTAGGCCCACTAAAGCCTTCAGAAGGGGACCAGCAGATTCGACCAGCGACTGACTGCACTTCAAAAGAAGGGCCTCCACAAGTTCTACCAGTTCCAGCCTCACCTTCCAGTGTGGGTGAACCGAAACACTCTCAATGATCTTTTTAATAAGGATAGTCAACTTGTCACCAGTATTTTTTACCCAATCTGCTTCCCTGTGAACCATCAGCTCTGCTACTTTGTGCTCAACTGCAGGCTTTGCTTGGACCTTTGAGATTCTTCTGAGCTGTTCATCAGCCATAATGAAGCCCACTGTCTTGTAAAAGATCTTTAGGGAAGATATGACAATGCTGTGACCTTGTTTAAAGTCTCCTGTGATAACCCTTGTCAGTGCAGTTGAGATTCCAGGTAAAAAAGAAGCAAACAAATCCCCCAGCTGCTTTTGCTCAAGCTCATCCAAAGGCCTCGGATGGTCCTGACAATCACATTGAAAGAGTAGAACCTGTAAACATTTTAAGGCAGCAATTTTAATTTGCCTTGATTTCTCCTGTTCTGCCAGCCCTAACAATAAAGATACAGCAAATCCTAAACGAGGCAGAATGGAGGGCTCATAAAAAGTCAGAAGGATGTCCCCATAAGCTGAGTGCATTAATGTGCTGAGTCCCTGGATCACGGCCAATTTCAACTCCTCTGACACAGCTGCGGGTTTTGGGGAGTTGGGTGAATACAGACAAGCAGAGAGTTCCGAAAAGAGTTCCTGGAGAAGCTCTTGCTCTTTCACACATGTTGAAGAGAGGACAAATGTGAGGCATTCCACCACGCTCTGGATCAAGCGCTCTCTTTTGGGACCGGGGGTCTTCAGGGTAAATCGCAAAGGGAAGAGGATATACTGCTGAAGTTCCTGAAGGGCAGTGTCACTAACGGCCCGTAATTGTGTCTGTAGATGTTCCACATTCTCCACCGTCTGGGTCTTTGTGAGCTGAACACAGACTGGACGTAAGACGCCAAAGGCCTCCTCAGGAGTATCAAAAACTGCCATTGTGCAATAGCCTTCTTCTCACTGAGGACACATCCTGCAGGCTGAAGGAAGGAAACTTTTTTGTAAAGGTCAAGTTAAAGCAAATACAAAGTGAGCTTGCATTCATTCATTTAACAGACATTTATTGGGGGCCTATTTGCTAGACACTGCACAAGCCACTAGCGGAGCAATGAAACTGAAGAGAGATGGCTCCTATTCTTAGGGAGCCTCCAGTCTAGAAGCAAATATACAGTTATAATACAGCCTCTTATGGATTAGGCTAGATCTATGGTCCTTAGTGAGTGTGGAAAAGTCATATGCCTAGGAAAGCAAAATGGGTTTTACAAGAAGATGTTTGAGCCAAGACTTGAGGGAGGAATAAACAGGATTCTGCAGGGTATTCTAAGAAGTTTGGCTTTTCACCTGTGGTGGTGATAGCCACTGAAGGTTTTGTCTATCCTAAATTAAGGCATACATAGAGTAAAATGCACTATCTTAACGTATAGTTCAGTGAATTTTTATCTGTGTATAGACCCATGTAACCACTACCCAAAGCAAGATAAAGAATATTTCTAGCACCCCAGAAGGCTCCCGCATGCCCTTTTGCAATCAATTCCTATTCCCTCTCCCCAGAGGTAACCACTATTCTGACTTGTATTACTACAGATTAGCATGGGAGAAGAGCGATTCTGGCAGGATGGAAGATGGACAGCATGCAGGCGGGCAGTTACGTAGGCAAAGGAGACAGGCTTATAGGTAAGTGAAGAAGCTGACCAACTTAATGCCTGAAAGTCTTTTCTCTGTGAAGAGAAATTCAAAGTCATGGGCTGACAGTGAAAAAGAAGGGGGATAAACAGAGGACTTGAGGAGGGAAATAAAAGTCTCAAATATTCCCCTTGGGGAAGCAGAGCATGCTGAGAAGACATAAAGGGGTGGCCCAAGGCTACTGAGCATTGAGCTGAAGCTGGAGACCATAAACGTATAAAAATGTAAAATGTTGGCACTGGGCAAAGGCTCAGAGATCATGTAGTCTGGTGGTCTCTCTTTTTTTCCCTCTACTTCCTGGTAGCCTCTGAAAAGATAATGACAAGAAAGTGTCTCTGCTGCCTCTCTTCTACCCCTAATTCAATAAACGCTCCTGAATGCAGTGGCTTTAGGACTGGCAGGCAAGTGGTGCCTGGTGGGTGTGCGCAAGACATGCTCAGTCCAGAGAGAGAGGGCTGGTGCCAGATTTTCCCCATGGGTCAAGAGAGGGCTCCAGGGCACAATCGAGATCCTGATACCTTAGAGAAAACCTGGTCCACTGAGCTCCATGGACCCCTGTGAGGAAGGGTACTGCTGGTCTCTGTAAGGCTTCTTGGGAGAGGGGGAGGTATCTCCTGGTCTCTGTTGCTCCAAGAAGCCAGGGAAGAAAAGAAGCTCAAATCTTCCCAATCCCAGGCTTGGAAAATGCCAGGTGTGTATGCTACTAAGCTTGGCCAGGGACTAATGACACCCCACTGGTGCTGGCTCACACACTGATGATCTAGAGGCTGCTGCACCATCCCCTGCCTTAGGTACCAGCAGTTGGACTAATAAGTAGGAAAGAGCGATAACTGCTTAATGGGATCCAGCAGTGAAAGGTAGGAAAAGTATTTCAGCACTCTTGGGATTGTGAATCTAATATTAAGAGAACCACTAAAAGAGGCAGACAAAAATGTGAATAATAATAATAATAATAATAATAATAATAACAATAATAATAATACCAATTAAGGAAGTTCAATTATAAGACAAAAGATATTTCTTAGAATTAAAAACATTATTTCCCACACTAAAAAAGCTCAATCAATGATATAAAAAAAAAGATAGTTAATTACTGAGTCCCAATTAGTGGTCTGGAAGATCAAGTAGAGCTATCTTAAAACTCAGCAGAAATACAAAGAGGTAAAAATTGTGAATCTCTGAGAACAGATCTGGAGGAACTAACATGTAAATAGCTGGGAATTTGGAAGGTGAAAAAGGAGCAGATGGAGGATCTAAAGCAAACAAATAACTGAAACATTTCCCTTAGCTACAAAAAGATTTATATGGAGATTGAAAATCCTGATGGATATACACCTTGTCACATGCTGGTAAAATTCTTGAACCTTAAAATGAAGAGAAAAATCATACATGTTTTCAGGAAGAAACAATAAATAACTCAGAAAAGAAAGACTAGCTTTGAACTTCTCATTTGCAACAATGGATGCTAGAAGACAGTGAACAGCATCTACTGACTGCAAATAAAGAACTGTGGCCCCCAAACCCTATATACAGCTAGATAGTCACCTGTCAAGGTGGAAGAACAATATGCAAGGATTCAGAAAAGGTATCATCCATATATCCTACCAGAGTAAGATAAATAAGGACTCTGTTCAAACAACTCAAAACGGAGGCTAAAGATGGGACGCTGAATGAAAATATAAACACTGGTGAGTAATTTTTTAAATTTTAGCATGGAAAACTTTCTTCAAATAAAATGTTTAAGTGGAAGTCCAGTATGTTAAACAGACAAAATCAGAGGGTCTCTTGTTAAAGCTGGGGTGAGGGCAATGGCCCAGGGGGCTGCATCTCGCTTCTTCACCTTAGGAGTTTCAAGAAGATAATTTGGGGTTCTCTAGGGTGGTGGCTCCTAAACAGTGTTCTGAAACTTCGTATAATGTATGCTATACGAAGTTATTACGTTATATGACAAAAACTGTAACAGAGCTAATAAAATGAGAACATGTGGTAAGTTCAAAACCGAACTTATCTGCTTTCTACTGCATTCCCTTTTTGATATATGGTCCTCACCCAAGCTGGAAACCTTGAAATCTCTGCTTTCTTTCACCTCCCTCTTAATCCCACTATTCCCTACATTTCAAGGGTTCTATCCCTTTGACATCTTTCAAATCTGTTGATAATGATAATTATGTATTTAACACTGGGCTGACTACCAACACTATATGACAAAAACTGTGACAGAGCTAATAAAATGAGAACATGTGGTAAGTTCAAAACTGAACTTATCTGCTTTCTACTGCATTCCCTTTTTGATATATGGTCCTCACCCAAGCTGGAAACCTTGAAATCTCTGCTTTCTTTCACCTCCCTCTTAATCCCACTATTCCCTACATTTCAAGGGTTCTATCCCTTTGACATCTTTCAAATCTGTTGATAATGATAATTATGTATTTAACAGTGGGCTGACTACCAACAGTTTCCTCTCTGGCCCCTTGGCGTGTATGTCTGCCTTCCTGAATCAAATTTCACACTGGACACTTAAGTAATTTTTCTTTTTTTGTGACCGGTAAGGGGATCGTAACCCTTGGCTTGGTGTCGCCCGCACCACGCTCAGCCAGTGAGCGCACCGGCCATCCCTATATTGGATCCGAACCCACAGCCTCGGCGCTCCCAGTGCTGCGCTCTCCCGAGTGAGCCACGGGGTCGGCCCCTTAAGTAATTTTTCTAAAACAAACCCTGATCACTCTTCTCCATGCCTAAAATTCTTCAACTGCTCTCCAGAGCCTGCCTAAAGTATGAACACCTTTTTACCATGGCCTAAAGGGTCCTTCACCATCAGGCTTCTGCCTATTTCACCAACCTCATCTCTCACTGCTTCACCCTTTTCACTCTAAACTGCGATCATATAAAATTATAAGACTTGCAATTTCATAAACAGGTGGTGCTATTTCACATTGTCTCCTTTTTCCTACCACTGTACACACCTCTATTATGGTATTTAGCATGTTGTACTGTTTGTATATACATCTGTCTTACCTAGTTTAGAGTGGGGGCTCTTTGAGGGCAGGGGCAATCCTATACCTAGAAGCTAGAAGGGCAGCTGGCATGCACTCAAAAATATTTGTACAGATTCTGCTTTCAAGTAGAATACAGTAGGGTGTGGCAGGCCCATAGTCCTGTTGATGACTAGAAAAAGCCAAATAAATTACAAAAAACATTTCTTAAAGCACCTAATACTTGCTGTTGGAAGCAACAATCATTAGCTTTTTTTGGTATATATATTTTTTTCCCTGAGTGCATTTGCTTATACTGGATATTGGCTCAGGATTAGAGTGTGGCTGTCATTGGGGAAAGATCAACCACAATGGTCAGGTGGAGCTGGCGAGACATAATTGGAGTTTTGAGGGACCTCAAACACATGACTTCTGGAAGACGGCTGCTGCTGGGAACAAAGAAAACAGTAGAAATTTTGGTGTTTTTCAAAGCTAGAGTAACAAAGCTGGAGATTTGAGGGCTCTTAAACACGTGGATGGTGTCTTTCTCAACACATTTGACAAATTTTGAAGCTATGTAAAGTGGTAGTCTAAAGAACTAAGATGAAAACCTTTGAAGGGCAGAACTGCATCTCCCACAGTCTTTCAAGTGTGAGAAGACAAACAGCCGGTTAGGTTTTCAACTGAAAGCCCTGGAGAACCACACTCTAACAACTAGGATGAACCAGTGTTAAGTTTGAGCCTTACAAGGATTGCAACTATGCCACTATGATTTTTTCATACAATATCTGGCATACCATAATAAGTTATTTTAAGCTTGTGAAGAGGCAAAACCACATAATTGATAATCAAGAGAAAAAACAAACAGAAGCAGACCCACAGATGATCTGAACATTGGAGTTAGCAATTGAGGCCTTTGAAATAACCACAATATAGTCAAGAAACAGAGGAAAAGATGGACAAAGTAAATGAAAGGATAAAGAATTTTACAAAATTGAACTGGCAAGCTAGCTCAATTAGTTGGAGCACAACCTTGTAACACTAAGGTCAGAGGTTTGGAACCCTGTTCTGGTCAGCTGCCAAAAAAAAAAAAAAGACTTTTACAAAACTGGTTGTACTCTATTATAAAAAAAGTAAAATGGACACTCTAGAACTGAGAAATACAGTATAATTAAGAATGAAATGTAAGGTTTTAACAACAAATTGAACAGAAGACAAGATTAATGAGTGGAAGCCAGGTTAATAAAAAATACCTAAACTCAAGCAAACAAATAAAAAAAGTGGTAAACACAGATAAGAACATAAAAGACATGTGGAATATACTGAAAGATT